AAAAATAATACTCAATTAATACTATAAAGTTTTAAAATATTAAAAAATACTAAAAAATACTACTACAATGATAATATATTAATAATTTTAAATAATATAAAGTGTAAGCTATAAAAAAATAGTAGAAAGTAATATAATATAAATAATAATAATAATAAATTTATACTTAATATACCAAGTATACTTGATAACATATATTTATATATTTATTCTATCTTTTTTTTAATTAAAATTTAATAAATTAAAATAATTTTAGTGATTACTACTTAATTAATATTTTGAAAAATTAAAAGTAAATAATTATTTAAAGAAAGTTCTGCTGCGGAAAAAAAAAATCTTATTTGGATTTAAAAAGAGAAAGAAAAAACATTTGAATAAAAAAGTAAAAATAAAATTTTAAAAATTATTAATAAAGAGTAAGGAGTTAATTGCAACATTAACAAATATATATTTAATGACATATTGAGTGATGTGTCAATTGAATACAAGTGTCTACCTATTATTGGACAATAATGTAGAACACACCAAAATATGTTAAGTAAAACATCTATTAAAGAATAATCATATGTAAAATAGATTTATAATTATCTATATTATATCTATAATAATACTTTTTTATGTAAAATTCCATTTTTCTCATCTACAAGACTTACTCGGACCACAACTAATTAATTCCTTTTAACAATGTGTGATACCCAAGTGACCCAACTGCACGAGTGGTTACACTATTTATTTTCTTGCTCAGACCTGCTTCCATAAGTTATTTCCCTATGGAGATGAAATGTAGGTGAACAAAGACCGTTTTAACCATTACTAGAAAAGTGTCATTTTCTTGTAAATTTTTCTACAAAAAAATATTTGCAGAAATTTTTTGTGATTTTTCTTGCAAAAAAATATTTGCAAAATTCAGAATATTTTTGCGAATTTATTTACAAAAAATAATTTATAAATATTTCTTACAAACTTTGCTACAATTTTAATAATCATAGAAATTTTTTTCCATGGTAAAAATTTGCAGAAAATATTATAATAATTTTATTTTGTTTCTTGCAGATTTTCTTGCAAAAATAAATTCACAAGTAATGTTTACTAAATGGTAGAAAAATTTTGCAGGTAACTTTTCCTGCGAATTTTCCTGCAAATTTTAATCCATAAGAAAAATAATAAAAAAATATTTAAATTTATAAATTTAATATTTTAAAAAAACTTCAAGTCCCACATCAATTGAAAATAAAGCAATTAAAAAGTATATAAGTTGGGGCAACACTTACCTTACAAGTTGATTTGTATGGTTGAGTGTTAGGTTTATAATCTACGATCTTAGAATTTAAAAGATTATGTATCACATGTTGGAGGCATAGAAACAAATGCTTCGGATGAATTCGTTGTGAGCATTTGAAAGTTAAAAAATTATTGATAGTTATTGATAGAATTTATAGTAATTTTTTTTTTAATTTTTTTCGTAAAAAATATTTCTGCAAATTTCTTGCAAAAAAATTTGCAGGAAACTTTCCTGCGAAATTTTTTTTTGCAGGAAACTTTCCTGCAAAATTTTTTTTGCAGGAAACTTTCGTGCGAATTTTTTTCTCAAGAAATTTCGCAGGAAAATTTCCTGCGAATTTTAAAATTCGCAAAAATATATTATCCACGAAGGTATTACTTACAGATAAAATTTCGCAAAAAAATTTACAAGAACAACATTTCCTACGAATTTTTATGAAAAATTCGCAAGAAAAGTCGCATGTAACAAAAGAAATTCTAGTAGTTCACAAGACAAAATTAATCAGACATTTTGATAAAAATGAAATATCTTAATTTGGTATATATACATCTACCCTTTGGCCCAGCTCATCAAAGATCATAAATATACCTTGCACCTTTCTCTGTTCTCTGCCACTATAAATATAGTTACCTTCTCCATTATCCAATACTCAAATCTTCTCTTATCCTAGGTTAGTGAAAGATATGGCGTCCAAACCTGGATTACTGACTAATTGGCCATGGAAGCCTCTTGGGAATTTCAAGGTTACATTCTTATTTTTAACTATATATAGTTTATCAAAGTTTATTCTAACCTGTTTAATGTTTCATCCCTTTGTTGTTTCACTCATCATTTTTTCTTTCACTATTTATGCAATAGCAGCAATGGCAAGTTTTAAATTGTAGCTATTACAGTTGTGGTTTTTGAGGGTTATGAAAGTCTAATATTTTTGAAAAATTATTAGCCAATGTTATATATAAGATGCTGCCACAATTGCATATGATCATGAGATATGGTTGTAAAGTTAACACAATGCAATATTTGCTAATTAATCATCATCATCATCATCTTTTCTAGGATAATCATGTGTTATTTCCTATTAAATAATTCACTGTGGCTGATTTTTTTTCTTCTTTTTTTGTCATATGGTGTATGTATGAAATGGATGAAGTGGGTGATTTTGACACCATGGATAGCACACAGCACTTACTCTTTCATAGTGAATGATCCTAAGGACAAGGACCTTGGTTACTTCCTCATCTTCCCATATATGATGCTGAGGATGCTTCATGACCAAATTTGGATCACTCTTTCTCGCCATCGAACTGCTAAAGGAAAAAGCAGAATCGTTGATAAGACCATTGAGTTCGAACAAGTTGATCGTGAAAGCAATTGGTTAGTGTTTAAAATCTCAATCATTTCACCATACTTTCATGTATTAATTCGAGCCTTCTATATGTAATGAATGTCGAATAGTGTTAATACTCTCATTAACTGAGTTTTAATCACTATTTAATAGTTGTGTAAAATGGTTTTACATTATCAACTATTTATAAACTATGGTTAGTATGATTTTTAAGATATTTATTATAATAATTAACAAATTATCATACACAGTGATAACTATTTTACATGATTAGTATACAGTCTGATTTCTTTTCTTTTCTTTTAATATAATTTTAATTTTCATTTTGAAATTTATTTGAAAAACATGAGAAGTCAAAAAAGAGACTCTTTGGATAAAAGGTGAGACCCACAATTTTTTTTTTATATATAATTTTTTAATAAATTTCAGATAATAATAAGGAGTATATTTAAAAGAATATATTATATATGTTGTCAGAATTTCTCATGAAATTAACTATCAATTTTCAATTTTTATTGCATTGATGATCTTATGTAAGTAATTGATTAAATGGAGGAACATTTGCAGGGATGACCAGATCTTGTTCAATGGGATATTGTTTTATATAGGTCAGATGTTAATTCCAGAGGCCACTCAATTGCCCTTGTGGAGAACAAATGGTGTGATTATCACTGCTCTTTTACATATTGGACCAGTGGAGTTTCTTTATTATTGGTTACACAGAGCACTTCATCATCACTTCCTCTACTCTCGATATCATTCTCACCATCATTCTTCCATTGTCACAGAACCCATTACTTGTATGTTTTCCTTTTTATTGTAATATATATTCACTTGTTTTAGTCACCAACACATTAAGAGTAATGCTACATAAATAACATAATTGTTCAAATATGTGTATAACATCATTTTTATGCCTATATATCTCTCTATCACTTATTTATTTATTGTGAAGGGAAATATTTATTAACAATGGAATGTGATAGATATAAAAATGATGTTATACAAGTCGTACAATTTTATTATATATGTATCATTATTCGTACATTAAAAATAGAAGCAAGTTTAATTAAAAAAGAAAATTATTTATTATAAAAAGTACAAAACTTATACTACAAAAAATTATTATACAGTGATACAATACTTGTCATTAAAAATTAATTTTAGCTATATTATATATATAATATATGTTAATATGTTGTTAAAAAGTGTAAATATAAACTATAAAGACATAAATGTATTATTGAATCTTATTTTAAATTAACACTAAAATTGTATGTAAGTATATATTAAATAAATTTATACATATTATATATAGTAGCACATTTTATATATGTAACATTTTTTTAGTGTTATTATCTTTTAAGATAATTTAAAGTATTTAGTAAAAGGTATTTAACTAATGTTTTCACATCACGTCTCTAGAAACACAATAGAAAATGACTTCTGCTAATTTATTTCACGCTGAACAACTAGTCGCATGCATGGTTTTGTTTAGTAGCAGAAATAGTTTAAGAAACCTTTCAAAAAATGTTAATGAGTGTTTTTCTTAGTATTGATTAAGAAATAAATATAAAAAAATTACGAAAAAATATTAGCATTACACTACTGTAATTTTCAACGGATTATATTATGATGTTGAATAAAAAAAATTAATATATCATTAAGACCTTACACTTTTTATAAATTTTTAATTAGATTTCAAAACTAAAAAAATGAAATTGGATCTTAATTTTTTATATATATTTTTTTTTGTAATTGAAATATTTCTAATAGATGATGACTTACCAACTGCTACAAAATAATATTTTATGATAGTTTTACTAATTCTTGTAACCTAATTAGTAAGATTGTAGAAGATTATAATACTCGATATTATTATTTTTTTTAAGTTAATAGACTTGACTGGTGTATTAAATTAACTAAAAAAAATATTGAATGATTTTTAAACTAATGTCCTCGAAAATTAGTCACTGTTATTAGCAGTGGGATGAACTAAAAAAAAAATAATGTCCCCGAGGTACGTAGTTGTAACCGAGACTCAATTTTATTTTCTATCATTTATTATCACTAAAGAAAAAATGTAAGTACGTATGGAAATTTAATTGGATATATAAGATATTAGTCCAAAATAACTTGCCATAAACACTTCTAAAAGAATAAAATAAAATAATAAAATAATTTTATCAAAAAATTAAAATTAACTTATGATTCTATGAATAAGGTATTTTCTAGAAACTCTCTTCTATCGATTTTTTCATGATCTTATTTTTAATTCATATTTAAATTAGTTTTAATTTATTGAGAAATTTATTGTAATTTTTCTTTTATAAATATTTTTAAAGAAATTTATTCAAACAGTTTTTTTGTTGTCTAAACGAGAAACGAAATGTTAATAATTTTGTTTTATAATGAGAAAAATAATGGTATAATAAAAGGTTAAGAGTAAAAGATGTACTCAGAGCCATAAAAACAGGTCCATAGACAAACCAATGAAACAAAAGCCTCGATCATATAAGAAACCAGAGTGATTTATCCCTTTCTCATTAAATAATTTCAGCTACTTTTTATACATTCAGGAATAAAATTCATTTCATGTATATCTTAAAAAAAAAAAATTATGCCAGTGAGTGTGTATTTTCTTTTTCCAACATATATACATACTGTCGTAGACATTTTATTAATGACATGGACCACATGATCTTTTTTAAAACATTGCCTATTCAACTGGACATGTGACTTTAATTAGTGAGAGAAAAATTTGGACAAAACTATAGTTATCCCACACCTCAAATTATTACAAATAAAAAAAATGAAAAATGTTTGAACGACCCAATATTGCATTTAATTGAGTTCTTGAATTTTGCAGCTGTGATCCATCCATTTGCAGAACACATAGCCTACTTTGTGCTATTTGCAATTCCACTGTATACAACTGTGATTACCAGAACAGCTTCTATAGCATCCTATGCTGGTTATCTTGCATACATTGATTTCATGAACAATTTGGGTCATTGCAATTTTGAGTGTGTTCCAAAGGCTATCTTCTCCATCTTCCCCTTCCTAAAGTATCTCATGTATACTCCATCGTAAGTTTCTGCTCTTAACTCCTCTTTCACACTTTAACCTAAGTATGTTATCTAACAATAGTTTAAAATAGTTTTACACTGTGATCTAATTATAAATTATTATGTATGGTGAATTTGTTGAATTTTATAATAATTATTTTAAAAGTCATACCAACTGTGATATTTTTAATGATTGATAGATTATTCTTTTTTATATTAATTACTATATAGTACATGACCATAAAACTCATAGAATCATTGAGAAAATAAATGATACATTAATTGTGTAAAATAATTTTAAACTGTCATCTAATCATAAACTGTCATCTAGTCATAAATTATTATTTATAATAAATTAATGTTAATTTTTATAATAAATAAGTAAAAAAATAATACTAATAGAGATATCCAATTAATTAACAGTGTAAAGCTATTTTATACAGTTAGTGTGTGATTATCAATCTAAAAAATTGTATAATATTAAAGATTCTAACTTAAGTATGATAGAAAAATTGTATCCTTAATTCCTGCATATCTTATATAAATGTTGCATCTTATATACATACAGGACGAATGCATGCTTATCAGAGTGGGGCAACTTTACTCTTTTGTATATATATATATATAAGGAGCATATCAAGTGAGAGAAAATTTATTATGAGAGATGAGAGAGTTAAAATATAATCTTTAAATTAATCAAGTGAGAGAAAATTAATCTAAGGGTTATATTTTAACCCTCTCATCTCTCATAATAAATTTTCTCTCACTTGATATGCTCCCTATATATATATATATATTTTATTTTTTTATAATTATATATATAAATTATATTTTAGTTTATTACAAAAAAATTGTTAAATAATGATACAAATTTTATAGAGATATAATACTTGTCACTAAAAACTATTTTTATATATATTATAGATACAATATATGTTAATATATTATTAAAATATGTAAATATAAATTATAATAACACTTTTTATATGTGATTATATGTAATATTTTTTGTAATGATTATTTTTTATATATCTAATATGTTAAAATATATTAATATTTTATTTATATTTTATTCTATTGTGTAATTTCTTTCACTTTATGATAAAATTATCTTAATTTTTTATTATTATAATATACTTTATTTTTTGACTGATAGATTTATTACTTCTTTATTTATTAAAGATGTCATAATTTAATTTACAAATATATGTTGTTTTCCAATTTTTATTTTAGTTTATAACCATTTTGATCTTGTATATGTACATTATGGTAAGAGAGGATCCAAATTAAGAGGAATAATAGTAATTGTCACACAAAATTTTTATTTATTTTTACTTGAACATATTTAATAAAAAAATTACTCTTATAAAAAAAATAAGCATTGTTCTCATAAAATATTATTGTTTTGATTGAACATAGAAATTTAGAAGAAATACAAGAGAAAACAAATAGTAATTATATTATCTTTATCTTAATAACTTATTCTATTTTTTTTCTAAAATTAAACAAATCACTAAAAAATTATAACATCACATTTAAATATAATATTAAATAGAAAAGAAAAAGAAGAATTTATCATTCTATTTATGAGAATATTTTAATTTATAAAAAAATAAATATATTAAATTTTTTATCATAAAAATATACTTTTTTAAAAAATTATTATATTTATAATAAAAATTATTATAAAATATTTTATTACCTCTACTTAACAATTTTTTTTTAAAATCCGTCACTGTATACATATACTTAAATTATATGGACGAGCCAGTACTAACATTAATATATTGTGCTAATTAAAACATGTCATATTTCATAACATTTTGTATATATTCAAAGTTAACTAGTAAGACCATTTAATATTGGTTGTAAGAATTAGTATCTTAAACTGAAGGTCATCAAGATCTTAAGATTAACGTGGGGAAAACTGTGCCATGCACCTATTATTAGTATAATATATTTACTTGCAAAATTTAATGCGTGAAATGTATATTGATAAAGTAGTTGAGCACTAAGTATATAGCAAATATCCATTCAAAGCCCAACAGTTTAATGTATAACTGAAAAGTTTAGGTGGGTGTTGCTTTCAAATTTACATTTATAGATGATGTGCTGTCGATTACAAATACTCCTACTTTATACTGTATATCATTATTGTTGACACTTGACACCTTAATCATTAATTCAAACTTTGGTATCTTTTTTTTTTAAAATTACTTTTAGAAAGAAAAAGCCTGAGAAAAAAATTAGATTAGTTTTTATATAAGATAAAACTAATTTATATATAAGTTTAATTATATAAATTTTTAAATAAATTCTATGAATTTTTTTTACGGTTTAACTTATACATAAATTAATTTTAATTTATAAAAAAGTATATATCATTTTTATGTATATATTTTTTTTTTCATAAGAGTTTTTTGGGAAAATTTATTCAAACAAATCTTAATACTACTATCCTATTTTATTGAGTTGTTGATAAAATATTAAGTTGTATGTATTTTTTAGTGAATGAAGCGATATTTTAGATTATTTCAATAAACTTTACTATAAATACTTTTTAGAAGAGAAAGTAGAAAAAAAAATGAAATAATTTTTTATAAATTAAAATTAGTTTAAACATAAATTAATTTTATCGATATTATCTTTATTTTTTTTTAAATTATATTTTTAACTTTACAATTTTTTTAAAAGTGTTTATAGAAAAATTTAACTAACATAAAGTATATTTAACATTCTGTGACAGGTGGCTCCAAAGTGTTGGCAACACATTAATGGATGATTAGTCTAATTTTTATTTTTTTTTATGATATGATGATTAGTCTAATGATTGCATATAACTAAGCATATGGACAAACGATATTAATTAGGTTGAAAATTATGGAACTAATTTAATGCAATCCTTGTACTACTAACTAACCGATTTCAAAATGTTGTCACCTAATGACTAAACCATCTTCTCCAATATTGATATCTTTTTCAAACCTTTTCCTTTGAGAGTAAAGTATTTTTAATAATTATTTTAAAATAAATACCGTAGGCTGTTAATATATATTTTCTCATGCAAAGTTGATTTTTGAACTTACAATCAAAGATTATTTTTTTTAAAAATATTTTTTTTTATGTTTTCACAAATAAAATTTGTTAATTAACGATTTTTATTTGTTTTTTAAAATTCATATTTCGACTTTTATTTTTGTTTCGGTGGCTACACTGTATATATGTCCTTTATATGTGCATCATTTGTTTATTACATGAGCTTTAAATTAGATTGGTACAAATTGCATTACAATATTTCTGCTACCTGCAACCTAATATTTCTATTAATTATTTCATTAATGTGTTACCAATGCATTGAAGCCACATATGCAAGAGACTGAGACAACCCACTATGCACTGTCACAGTTTCATGTGATGTCACCATCTCTTAATTAAAACTTATTATTGCATATCGCATATTTTGATTTGTGCAGTTGTGGACCTTTTACGAAAGAAATGGACTAATATCTTTCTTTCTAATATTAGATATTTTCAAGATCAATAGTTGAAAATGAAATATATGCGGCTTTTATGATAAATTAAAGAAGAAAACAGTTCTTCGTTAACTGTTACTTAAAAGCATTAATTTAATGAGTATCAAAATTAAAACGTGAATATTAAAATAATTTATGTTAACAGTGTATTAAAATTAAAGCTTTTATTTATACGTCGTACTTTTTTCAATGTATATACTTTTAAACTTTATTTACATCTACAACGTCAACTTTTTAATAATATGATCAATTATCCATTTCTTTCAAACAGTTTAGAAAAGGTTTAATTATATTTTTACCCTTAGAATTATATAAATTTTACTTTTAGTTTTTACTGTTAAAATATTTTATTTTATACGAATTAAAAGACAGAGTTCATAAAGCTATAGAGATTAAAAGAACATAATATCAAAACCATACTTCAAAAAAAAATTATTCGACTTTGTCCACCGATATCTCTTATCAGAGATCACACATTAATTACTATAATTAATAGGTGTCAACTCTTACTTTATAATATTCTTTTACAACATTTAGAAATATATCTCTTATACCGGTAATGATTTTCTTGACCACCATCATTAATTAAGTCATAAATTATTGAATTGAAAACGACATTCTATAACAAAATGTTTAAACTTTTTATTTTTCAATTGACTTTCATCATTTTTAAAAATTGTATCCAACTGATCACAAAAGGAAATTAATTAAAATGTGTTATAGTGTAATTTCTTTTTACATTATTGTTAGTTAATTATAACTTATATATATATATATATATATA